GTATGCCCAAATAGCGCTTTTAACAAATGTAGACGATGCTTGATAACACGCATCCTTTCGGGCTCTGCATCCGGATATTCGGGATATCAAATGTAATCGACCAATAGAATCACGTGCTCGCTTCGATCTAAAGTACTGCACGCATCTAGCCCATCAACCCTGAGCTCCTCTCATCGACGGCTTATTCGCTATTCTGGACATGGAGGGAATGGTGACGTGATTGTACGCCGCTGTACTAGAGACTGTCTCTTGCAGATAGATTTTGCACTGTTCAGTCCCGGTTGCTGGAGTTCCCAGATCATGGATGCTGAAATGTCCTGTAATGTAATGGACTCGAAAATGCATGGCAATAGGGGATGCAGCATGGCGTGCCTACAAAATTAACCCCGACTCAAAGACATGGGGCAATTTCCTGACCCCTCTTAACCATTACACTTGTCCGGGAGGACAAAGTAACGTATCAACAGTGCCTAGCCAGAAAGTTTCTGGCAAACAGTAAACTACTGTATAGACATGTCAAGTCTTCGTAAAGTAAAGCATGGCATCCCTCCACTTTTCACAACACGCGCTAGAGTACGAAGCGCCGAAGAAGCAGCTAATGCCCTATGTAATATGCGTCCGGTCGTGGGTTCCGATGGCTTCCGGTTCCGGGGGGTGTAAGTGGGTCGTATTAGACCGAGAAGGGCTGAAAAGTAAGGAAGATATTTCGTAGGCGGCTGGAAAATCACCTAGTAATTGTCGGAGCTGTATGAACGGTGTGGTTGTGTCACATCTCGTGGCTAGCTGGGTGGTACTGTCACAGCTGCCGATAGATAACCGAGCGCGAGGCGACTAGATGGATAACATGAAAACGTACGACGGTTGGCTAATACAACAACACCGAAGACGAAATGGAAAAGCGAAGAGTAGAGGAAACGACGCTCACAATATAGGCTACGTTTGACGACAACTTAGTTGTTTGCCACGGAGACACTGGCGCGCTACACCCTGGGGCCCAATAAGCCCCAATTTTCGAATTCGCAGTCTCTATCTCTCCCATAACGTCAAGCACATTACCAACTCCATGGTTTACACATATAATTATCAACCGAACGATTGTGCTAAGGAAGTTACTTTCATTGCGTAATCATACCCCTCCGGTAGCAGCAAACATCTACTCCTAAGCACTAAGGGCAGAGGCCAACAGACTAGCTGAACCACTGTCGCAGTTCTTCCAAATGTGCTTCGATGAACAGCAAGTCCCCATTATGTGGCAAGGTGGCATTATAACTCCAGTTTTTAAAGTCGGTAGCCATTTAGATCCTTCAAACTATCGCCCAGTGACTCTCCTCCCTATGTTCGCGAAGGTGATGGAAGCGGTCTTCGCTGAGGCTCTAATGAACTACGTGGAAAAACGCAACATGGCACTGGAGCAATATGGCTTCTGTCAACAACGGTCATGCACCACCAACCTGATAGTGGCACGAGGTGGTTTGTCGGAATTGGCTGATGATGGAGTCGGAGTTGACGCCATCTATCTGGACTTTTTCAGTTTTCGACCGCTTGGATCACCGCATCCTACTTCAACTGCTACAGAGCTACGCAATCAGAGATCTTATACTTGGTTAGATGGGCAACTTTCTTCACCAACAGAGGCTCCAAGTGCGTGCTAGGGGATTACTCTCCAACCCGATTGAGGTGGAATATGTTGTCCCACAGGGCTCGGTGCTAGGTCCGCGCCTGTTCCTTGTGTTTATCAACGACCTGGGAAGAGTTATCTCCTAAACTTTCCTGATTTTCGCTGGTGATGTCAAGACATGGTCACAGTCTACTCCAACATGACCTATATTGCAGTTATGAATGGTCAACGAGGAACCTGCTTCAGTTGAACATAGCCAAATGCAAGATGATCCATCTGCGTCACCAACCGGGGAGCGTTTACAAGTTTGGAGATCACACCTTGCAGCAGGCCTCTCAGGAGCGGGACCTGGGTGTACTGGTTAAGGAAGATCTTGGGTGCTCAAAACAAGCAGAGAAGACGTCGAAAACCGGCAATCAACACTAGCCTACTTCGCAGAGCTTTCGGTCGTTTTGAACCCTCAACTTTCCCCAACTGCTTAACGCCTACGTGCGACCGCATGTGGAATATGCTATCCCGGCGTGGCAGCCTTGACAGAAACAGGATCTCGTTGCTCTCGAGACTCCTCAACGAAGGGCAACCAAGAACGTCAGGGGCACTTTCATCTGCCCTATGAGCTTCGACTGAAATCTCTGATTGTACATCAGTCGATATCGGCGTTTGCGGGGAGTGGGGTCTCTTAATGATGTACCAGATTCTGAAGAACCCAAACCACATTTGCCATCCGCTGCTGGAACTGAACCACAACACTAACCCAAGTGGTCATCCTCTGGAACTGATAATACATTACGGCCGGCTTGAATGCCGTAGAAATTTCGTTTCCCTCCGACTGTGTCAATCTTGGGACGCCCTCTCTAATTATGTCGTCTATGCACCAAATCTGGCGATATGCAAAAGAACCACTTAACGTAGCCTTTTCTCATTTGCATTTTATTTTATAACTTGTTAGCCAGGGACTACTAAACGCAATCAAACGGTGTCTTACCAAACTACCCACCAATGGATCTAGGGATTTAGACTTTTAATACGCGAACATCACTATTCTAGACAAGTCTATGGTGAGTCTACCAAAACGCTTTCCACTCCATCACGAATATTTATTTTCGCAACAATTTCCATCCCACTGGAGTTGCTAAGCATTACTATTTTCCCATAATTCACCATTGTTTCATAATATTCTTGTGATATTGCTTTAAGAACCTGCCACCAATGTTTCCGGTCTTATAACTCCGTTTCCTCAGAGGGGAACTTTTGAAGCTCAGCAACTCCGTAAACAATTATCCCCAATTTGCTCTTAGAATTCTCAACTTCGTGACTGTGAGTTCAGAAGGGTTTGGTAACAATCGGTTAACTTGTTTGTTGGGCAAGTTTTCGCTTTTCACACAAAGTCATCATCAGGCTAGGTAAATCAGTATGCATTTGGAGTGGCATTTTATAGCTAATAGGGACGAGAATTGCAATAACAGATATGAACAAAGGTGTTATTACAGTCGCAGGTCAGGATGTCGCTGCAAGTGGTTTTGCCAGTGGGAATAACCCGATTGTTTCTTTGTGCGTCATGGCGTTGACAGATAGGCACCTAGTGTTGATATTGGGGAATCGAGTTACACCTTCTAATCTGATCCGCACACCGACGCTCGTCAGAGTGGCCGGATTAAAATCGCTTGCCAGGCACTAGAGAGTTCTATGCCCTCCATTCTATTCATGCAGCTGTCCGATTTGGCGGTACCAAACCCCTCGGCAATCAGCCGCTGGGGCTTTGATCCAATACCCATCATAATAATCTCTGTATTGTCCAAGCCGATTTGGTGACTCCTGTCTAATGCATGTGTAGCCACCTGACTCTCTTATTAATGCCCAGCATTCGAACTCATTCGTCATGTGTTTTGAAATGCAGCTTTTGTGTCCTGAACTCTGTGTGCGTAGCTCCCCCACAGTTTGAACTATGTAATTTGAATGAAATAGATTTACTCATACTTGAATAATTAACTTTTGGCAATTATCTTCAGTGAGCTGAATTGTGAGCGTCACACCCCAAGAGTTTGCTTATTATAGAATATTTGTGGTATATATGAGAATGTCGGATCATTCTCTTAACTGGCGATTAGTTACTGTTATCAGCGCGTCTTCCGGAAAATCAGTCGTAATTATATTGCTCCTATTGCCAAACAGCGATATACACTTAGGAGTGTTCAGCAGATAGCGCTTTCGACTACAAAGAAACCTGATAATGGCCTATTTATTCTTGTACAGTCCAAATCATGTGTACTACTCTTTACTGCAGCTCAGCATTAACATTAACCTGAGTGGTCCTTCCCTAAAGCTGGCAGAACATTACAGCCTTATGGAATATCACAAAATTTCTTTTCAGTTCGGGTATGTCCCCTCTGGAGCGCACTCCCCGAGTAGGTAGTTTTCGCACCGACACTGTCCATTAAATGTCGCACCCGACCACCTAGATTTTGTTTCTTGGCATTATTGCTAAGTGACCAACTCGGATCGCGCCACTCCATTACTGGGAAAAACCTTGGATTTGCTATCCGTCATCTACTCTTGTAGTGTAGCTACGAGGAGAGCAGAACTGCATCGCAATCACTTAAAACGATTAGTCCTGCTTTTACCAATAATAGTATTAGCCGTTTTTAACGTCTTCGATAACTGCACCAGACCAATCGATGGGGCTTTTGTAACAATACTTCTCGATCCCTATAACATACTTGTTCTTTACCATTAGAACCTTACACTACGGTACCGAGATTGTGCATAGCGCTGCGAATGTGTGCGCAGTACGCCTCAGTGTGGGAAAATGTGGAACTCTTGAGGCCTGAAAACTATTGAGAGCTTTTGTGGTATAAAACTTAGCGACCTCAAGCTGTTTCGGGCCACCCTGTTTGGGGGCCACTAACACAGCGGTTCTTGTACTCCCGAGCGCGTGATGCGAACTAATGTGGACTCTCTGGATTGATTTGGAAACCCTTATGCAACCTCACCAACGGTAACTGCTGGCGATGGGGTGTGTACGTGTCGACATCTGACTAGGCGGTGATCGGCAGTTGGCACGGTGCCAAGATCACCGCAATCAAGTATTTGAGAGAAATTGGCTGTTATCAGCACATAGTTGAAAGCGATTGCCGGTTTAAGTGCTTTTTCGGTCAAAGTTGTATACATGATCCTCACCGACACTGGCTAGTATTCACTGTGACCAAATGTTTCTTGTACTCTACCCTGTTTGGCTCATGTTATCTACGCTCCTTTATTTTTCCCTTGATATGCCATCCGTATGAGTTACAAATGAACTAGTGGCAACAGTTGCAATTTTATCTCATCAGTTTTTTCACTTACTTATCACGGATCTCTTCTTCATACTGGTTTGCACAAATAGGGCTGTCCTGTATTAACCACCGATCAAGATTCTCACAGCTCAATGGCTACCTCACAGGTTAGTCTTCAACATCAGCACCCGACACAACTCGGCCCTAACTCAAGATTAATCGCGGAGCATGATGTTCGGTCCCTAGTGTATGCGACCCCGGTCTCGATGGACACACGCCCAAACGGAGGGATTAAGCAGCAATCCCAACAGGACGTGGTCACCCAGCTCCGCTCAGTCATAGGTCGGCTGAAGGCCACTGTGCATGCACGCGACCTTCGAATTCATGAACTCGAACGAGAAGTAGATAAACTGCGCTCAGTGTTGGATCAGCAACTGCAGAAGTCATGGGTACGTCACTGTCTGGGCTGGTTTTCCTCTTACATAATAGAAAGGTTTCTGCCTAGTTATATTCTGCAGCGCTCATATGAAAGACTGTGTGTAAAGCTTTAATTGAAATCCACTAGACAAATTTTATTTGTTATTTGTGTTTGCTATATGTGTTCCTCTTTCAAATTATTCCAAGTGATATATTATTTCGACCGTAAAACGAACCAATCCTTTTAAAGTGGTAGCCTACTGAATGCACTGACTTAACTTAGAGGTTGCGACCACATACCACCATCTCAATGCGCCTTCGCGTGATATTTTTTCGTGGATACTTGGCATCACCGACGCTTAGCTTGTTTCCTGTCCGCATTCGACTGTTCATCAGCATCGGTGCTTACATTTTCCTATGTTACTGCTTCAAAATAAACTTCTTTCCCAAGAAACTAAAATTGAAGTAAAATTCTTGATTTGTTCTCTGGGTTGGGCGATTTCGTCTCAAAGTGTGCAAAAAATTGACTATTTTGGAGAAGCATTCAACATCTCACTAGCCAACGATAACTGCAGATATCCCGATTTATGGTAACTCAAAATTTGTGCTGGTTCGCTTACCATCAAAAACAGAATACTGCAAGCGAAGTACGTCGCATCTTTTGTGTTTTTCAGCTTTCTAGTGTTTTAATCCTGTTACCTTAGTCTATTACAAGATAAGTAAATCGATAGAATGGCTTATGGCAAATATGACTATTAAGTTTTTCGGATGAATGAAGCCTCTTAAATTGGCTTACCAGCAGTTGTCCCTCTTATTAAATGGCGATAGCTGTCTGTTCACGCGCCGTGACATTCACTTGCGAGTTAAGCCGTACTGTAGGATGCTTAAAAACGTAGCATGCACATGTATCTGCATTCGTTGTCTGTGATATGCAAACTGGGCAGAAATCAGATGGAAAGACAGACGGGTATATGTTCGGGGACCAGCAGTTGTGGGTCCAACAGCAACGTGTTGCACTGAAAAACTTGTAGTCGCATGCATCGCTGTTTCCTTCAACCGAATTTTGTCACGCACACACGCATCAGCCACAATTCCTAACCTATGACTGCAAGGCCTGTGGCTCAGTTAACGATGAGCGGCTCGGATGTATCCGACGTACATTATTCCAGAATAATAATAAAATTATTGGCTTGCACACTGCTCATTATTATTAAGGGCATTGAATTGGATTGTGTTGAACTACGGTCAGGAGCTGGACCGGTCAGAGGGGCGATCGGCGAAACAAGTAAACAACTGAAGCTAAGCGTTTCTGCGCGTCGCCAACCTAATAGCTTTGCTAGCCCATGTGTAATGCGTGGTAAACCATGTGATTCACTTGTTCCCACACATGAAACCTACTGAACAACCACTGTATTGACTCACCTGGTGTTGAAACGGTGTTTAGACACCTTGTATTGCTCTCGTGTAATATCGACAGCATGGACATGACGTTTATCTGGTTGTTTAATAATCCAACACGCGTAAGTACTGGGCTTTCGTTCGCCCCCTCTCCACGTTACTTTGATGCACTTTGATGCTACAAATAGCTTTGCACTACGCTAATCGAGGCTGAGCATCCGCATTCTTAACTGGACGGTCTTCAGTCATCGGCGCCGTTCACTGATGGCCTATGGTCCTCTTGGACACGACCACTTCGTGCTAACGCTATGATTTGTGCTCATACTGCCTCGTTTTTAAAGTGCTTTATGCGCAGGAAATTTAGTTAGCCTGCTGCACCACAGCTTAATGAACGCGTTCTAGTGAGACTAGGAGAATACGACTACTGCTACCTGCCTAGCGAATCGACATAGGAAACGATCTAGCGGATTTTTGTTATGAATTTATTCCGAGCATTTGCCCGTCTGTTCATTGTAAGAACAAAATAAACTGCGTGGCTGAGTGACAAATGTGTTTAACGCCTTCCCCCTTAAATGCTCAACATTATCATACCATTGCTACTTTCTTCTTCGGATCGATGGTACAAATATACCATCTTGTAAGTACACCATGTCAAGTTCGCATGTCCCCTACTCTCGTAGCATTGTGCTCGCATGTGGGACATGGCTACATTTGGATCGCTTATTCCTCTGCTGTTATTACGTACTGTTCAAGTGGCATTTCGCATCACGTTTAACTCTGACTGTTGGCTCGTTTACAAATGGTTAACTGCAATATGCCATTTGGAATGGTTCTTCATTCCCTATGGCCGGGTGTACAGCCTTACAGTGTGAACTTCCCCTATTACCAGATCTATCAGCGTTTACGTTGTTTATGGAGATTACATTTTAACGTTTTTCTCTGTACAAACCCACCCTTGTGCATGTGGTTCGGCAAGTAGCTGGTGGACGGGTTTATTACGCATGGAACAGCTGAGGTCTGAAAGACAAGCTGGGCCTCTCATCGAACTTCTACCTCGTCACGTTTGCCTTACTTAGGATTGCGACTGTGCACCTATTTTACCCCGGTGCAGCTACATGCTGCCAAGCTATTTTTATCCTCCCATCTGTGGGCTACTATGGAGGAATAAGTGGGGCTTTACATCTTGTGCAGAAAGCACGCACATTTTGGGTGGCCTGTGCGAATGCTCTCATGATTCGGAATTAAAAACCAATCAGTACAACGCAGCTGGTTAGAGCCTTACGCAAACGATCTCACCATATTTCCAGTGGACTCGTTTCGGTCTTAACCGGCATATGAAACTCCCGTGAGCATTTCGTCTTAACAAAGTACTTTAGCTTTTGGTTGCGGGGTCCACAACCGCCAACTTACTTTTAATCCTGACGTGACCAAGATTGGCGCTTACAGATGCAATTGCTTTTCTCTTTACTTGGTGGACTGAGCTGGCTGTGCACCAGAGTAATCGCCTCTTAATGCCCATTAAACGTTTCGTCTTTGTCACGCACTTTACTGCTTTACGATTTTACATTCCACCGCCGTTGTTATGTTATATTGCGAAAAGCCGGTGCTCGCATTGATTACATTTACTGTCATATAATTTCCCTTGCGCATTGTCGCCATTTTCCATACAGGCCCAAGTTACTGCCACTTCCGCGGGTGACGCAGCACAGTTTACAGGTCTAAACACAGAACCGCTTCCTTCTCTCCCTGAGTCCCCTGAGTTCCATGCGGATTCTGCTCAGGATCTAAACCTGACTTCCCCCGATCCGAGCCACAATCCTCTTCCCGTGGCGGCTTTGCTACTTCGTAAACGGTTAGGCGTCTCTGGCGAATCAATGAGGACTACAGCAGAATTAAAGTACCATGAAAAAGATGCCAAGTGCGTTTCCTTGTATATTCTCATCATCTGCAAAATTAGTAAGAGTGATAACAACAATGCTAAGAATAATAATAATAAGAGCTTGTTCTCAAGTTCCCACGCCTCACGCCTTTAGTGGCGCGATCATGAATTCCATGCACTGGTGATGCTCGCACACAGTTCGACCAAAAATTGTTGCTCGCAGTTGGGCACAGAAATATCAGAAAAATAAAAACGTAATATTGTTAAGTCACACAGATAGTGTACAACCAAATAAAGTGCAGAAGAACCGCTGTCAAATACAGTTAAAGCAATTATAACTCGGTTCTTTGTCACATCCCACATAACCGAAGCCTTCGGGGCGAACCTAAGTTTTACTTCCTTGTTACCGCAAGGGGATGATTCACCATTGTTCATTCATGTTGGTAGGAACTTGCTCTTTTCCATAGCGCTTAAGTGCAAAAAGTTACTTTTGGATTATAGTGGAGATTAACCTCCTTAGTTAAAACTCCTGAGATAAGCTAAAAACTTACGCACACCACAAATTAGCGGTCGCGCGACAGCATAAAACGTCTGTAAAAGCTGCACTCTTACGTGATGGGGTTTGGAATGAAGCGACACAGATACTCCTTCACTTGAGATACGATCCTAGTGCTCGAAATGATCGAAGTTTATTGTGGTCTTAATAGAGGTTACATTTCGCAATCCAGACACGGTGAACACTCCAAACCCAACTTCGAAGACACTCTAAACTCTAGTAGCAAATAGGGGACGGGTTTGATCAATTACCAAGACCAAGGTTAATAATATTTGTTATCACCGCGGTCGAGCAGCCATGACAAAGAATTCACCCCACCGAACAGTATATTGAGCAAATACGAAGTCACCCTAAACGGTCACTACCGCCGACAGTAAATCAGTGGTTGAGAGTGAAGTTCATGGCCAGAGCCGCTCGACGACGCTCTACTTTTGGGCACCGGCTTGCCGGTGATGAAACCTGCCATATTGCAGCTTACACTTTTTTCATGGTGGTCGTCACCGTCACCCACAACCCAGTTGTTTTGTTCAATGCTCTTTTAACTGACAGCCATTGAGCAAAATCTTGCTGGTTTCGAGTTAGGTACCCTCTGTTGCTCGAGCCCAATAGGCCTAAACGGTCACCCAACGTTCTTCCTGGTGCGTAGTGGCTTTCTGGCCGAATTTGCCTTTGGCTAATCTCATCAGTTCATGTTCTTATTTTTCTGCTCGAGTTAGACAGCTAGCATTATCTTGCTCGTGTGTAACACACCTTGAACTGATCATACTTTGATCACAATTTTCAAGCCATAACGCTGCATTCGCTCAGCCTCATGTGGTTAGCGCACTTGTACTTTTAAGTAGACAGAGTGCCGCTTATCCTTTAGTTCTCTTATGATAGTAACTGTTGCGGAGACTTAGATGTGATGGTCCACTGCACCAGTTACTTGGACTACATTGTCAAATTCCTTTGGAGTTCTTCCCCTGGGTCACCTTACAGAAAGCTTCAGGTCCATGACGGTCTTACATGCCCCATTCATTTGTACATCAGTTGCACCATCCGTCTAGTCTTGATGCAGCGTCGGGTTGCACTGTCTATCGGCTTCGTTAGACCGGATACCATTCACTGACTCGACCCATTTGGGCCCGTGCCAACCGAACTCTGGTAACTGCTTATAGGCTACACGAATAGAGTCACAACGCGTAGCGTTGCTCACAGTGCGTAATTAGTAGGGGATCGTAGTAGTTACATAGCAGCCGTTTGCATAGGCAAGCTGATCCAATTGTCCTAAACTGTTTGTACTAGCACCAGCACGTGACCCTAGCACATCAGGGCGTGTAGCTCCTTACAAATTGCATCATTAGGCACTCTCCGCCTCCATACCATCTTCCACTGGAATATTGACTCCAATAGCATTTTACGATGCTGAACAGTTTCCAAAATTATTATTGAAATTTATCCGTTGGTTTCCGGAGCTCAAGGAACATGCGACTTGGGATTCCCGATCGGGTGTTATTTTTATGCGGTAACATGTTAATCCTGCTCGCCATCTCATCCTATATTCCCACCAGGTCCAGGCAACAAATCCGTGAAGCTTTGCGTAGCAACGGCTTGCTGATGAACTTGGATGTAGTACAAATACAAGAAATGGTTAGCTGTATGCACGAGAGAAACGTTGAAGCCAACTGCTACATTATTCGTGAAGGTGACGATGGAGAGCATTTGTATGTGGGGGCAGGTGAGCCACTCTTCTGCTAGTATTTGTTGCCACTATCCATGTTCTTTGGTTCCTTTCTCCTGTAGGTAACACCAAGGATTTAGTGTATGATGCGCGTCCGTTGACACCTGGGGTATCCAGATCGTTTGTCCATCAAGAGTATTCCCATTTGGAAGCAAAGCCGCGTAGGTCCTAACGGCCATCGTCTTTGTTAGATTTGTCCAATCGAGCAAATATGTTTCTAGCACAAATATGTGGTGTATTCCGTTAACCTAACTTTGCCACATCTACATACAAAACAAAAAATTAAGTTAAAATAAGCATTTTACACTAGAACTGCGAATGTAGTGAGGCATAACATTAGCATGAAAATTGCACTACAAGCATACAAAGCAATTAATATGTGCACACACCACACAAGTAGGCGTTCACGCGTGGTGCTGGTAAGTTTCTTGGAGTCCGCAAGAAACCGGAAGTATACGGTAAGATAGAATTGTGGTAGCGAGAAAACAAAACCCTAAATCTAGAGCGGTTAGATGAGCAGGAGCATGCTTTAGGTAAATCAATGGGAAGGGGATGAAAATGGTCATTTAACACAGTTGCTGAAAAGTTGTCATATGCATTAAAGTGCTTAGTAACGATGAAGTCAACCAGAGACTCTCTGGGTAATCCACAACACTTGGAAATGAACTTAATGGAATGCACAATCAATGTGAAGTCTTTTTGTAGAAGGCCAGGAAAAATGATGGGTGAGCAATATAACAATAAGGAAGAATACAAACGGTCACGAATTAGTAAGTTAAAGAGCAGAGTACTGAAAGCAATTTGACTCACGGGGCATAAAATGAGAACTTTCGCTCTTTGCGGAACGTTTCCTCAACGTGTGTTGACCAAGGTAGACTGTGAGATAAATTTACACCAAGGTACTTAACAGTGGATGAACTGGGTATGTTGTGGTCACTTACGACCACGGAGCGAGAAGTGTATGCCACTGCCAGACGTTTGTCATTGCGGCGAAAAGAGAAAGTTATTTCGCGGCATTTAGAAGCGTTGCGAATAAGGGATCGGGACGACGACCGTTGCTGATGCTCCTCCAACTTGATTAGAAGAGTCGTTGATGATTCAACACTCGGGGCAATGCTACCTATGACTACGTCGTCAGCGTACTTCCATCCAATAAAGTTTTAGGGGGGAACTGGAAGCATTTTGATGTGTAGAGAGAAAAGGAGAGGGGAGAGGATTGTTCTTTGTAAGACGCCCCAGTCAGCACTAGGAGTGTGGGACTTTTTACCGTTTAACTGGATAAAATGCGATTGGTTTCATCATCATCATCATTACACGTTAGCTGGAGGTGGAAAACACCTCAGCCATTGTGCCGCAATACAAAATAAAAGAAAAGGGAAACAGTGACAAACAGTGGCAAGCCCGCTGAGTCCCCAGTAATGGATGGACATCGTTCCGGAGAGCTAACAGCTGGCTGCCGTAAAAAGAGAATCATATTATGCCTAACGATTGAGATCGTGATTGGAAAGCGATGCTAAGCAGGAGGGAGATGGACAAAGCAACTCACAACACAAACGCCATTGGTGCCGGCTCCGAGCCATATCAGCAAGTGTGTCCAACCAAACGTGTTCATCGTCCTTAGGACCCCAGCCAGGCAGTCGGGATGCACCAACCGACGCCAAGGTTCAAGTGAGAGTTTACATTCCCCTCGATCAAGTCATCGCTTGGCCTCCCATCCTCCTCTTCCAACCGCATCCCCGGCGCGCAAACAATGCACGTCGCGGGAGTCGGTGTGCTGGCATGCGCAACACGTAGCACAGCCATCGGAGCATGGTGCGTGATAGAATGGTGCTGAGCGGTTCACTCGCTCTTCCTGCACCAAATACGCGACGTCGAACACGCTCATTGCTCACGCGGTGTTCCCACCAGACATGAGCTAAGCTGCGAAGCCAGCGATGATCGAATGTGACGAGTCTCTTCATGTCAGTCGACCTGATGGGTCAGGTTTCACAACCATATAAGAGAGTAGAACGGACGGCTGCGTTATAAACTCTGTCCTTCAAGGCGAGAGTAATGTCGCGTCTGCGCCACAGGTGGCGGAGATTGGCAAAAGCACCTCGAGCTTTTGCTATACGGTTCGTAACCTCATCTTCAATCCCACAGGTGCTAATATAGCTGCCCAGGTACTTGAATTCCTGAACGACTTCTAGCAGATCACCACCAAGCGTTAGCGCAGGGTTGGGTCCCTGCCAATCTTGGAGAAGTACTTTGCATTTCGATGGAGCAAAGCATAGCCCAAAACGACTGACAGCCAGTGCTAATCGGTCCAGTGCTCTTTGGCATGTTTGGAGGCTGTCACAGATTAGGGCAATATCGTCCGCATACTCCAAGTCAAGAAGTCGCTCACCAGGAAGTAGCTCCACACCATCTAGGTCGTGTCCAGCGAACGCTGTTTTTATGACTTCATCAATAGCGAAGTTGAAGAGGAAAGGTGACAGCGGGCATCCTTGTCTCACGCCGCTGGTGATACTGAAGGGTGGCGAGAGTTTGCCATATACCCTCACTCTGCCCGAACTATGCGCGTACAGCGCTTTGATAATGTTTACATATTTATCAGGCACACCTTTCCTCAGCAGACAGTCCCAAAGGGCACATCGATCGACTGAGTCGAAGGCACCTTTTATGTCAAGAAACACGACAACGGTGGGTCGCCAATAAACATGGCGGTGCTCCAACACTTGACGCAATGTGAAGATGTGGTCGATGCAGCCCCGACCTCGACGAAATCCGGCTTGCTCTTCACGAATATGGCTTTCACGATTGCCAGTCAGTCTGTGGAGAATGAGAGAGGCAAGCAATTTAGAGGCAATCGAAATCAGACTGATCCCTCTATGATTGCCACATTCTAAACGGGAGCCTCCCTTGAAAATTGGGACAATTGCGGAGCGGTTCCAGTCTGTCGGGACTGTCTCCTGCTCCCAAAGTCTTACTAGCAACTCGTGTAGATCATCTACTAGAGCAGGTCCCCCGAATTTGAAGAGGGCTGGGGGAATTCTATCTGCTCCCGAGGCTTTATGCAATTTCAATAGCCGGATCTCACGTTCGACCTCTGCGCGTGAGGGCGGATCCGAGGAGACGGCTTAAGGAGAAGAGCGCTCAATGCCCGAAAAAGAAACCGATAACTCAGGTTTGTTAAATTGCCGTGCAAAGTGTTCAGCCCAACGCTCCAAGCGTTTTGACAGGCTGTGGATCGGCTGCGCACTCTCGTCGCGTATGGTCTCGCTAACACCAGGTCTCCTGCTGCCTGTTTCCCGTATCAGACGGAATAACTTACGATGATTACCCACGGCAGCGGCTGTTTCCATCTCAGTGGCACGATGAGACCACCAGGTTTCGCGGTCCTTCCTAAGGCTAGCACTTAGTTTTGCCCTGAGATTTTTGCGAGCGTCATTATATTCGCTTCTAGCCGGAATACGTCGGCGAGCATCCATAAGTTCCAGAGACTGCGTAGAGACCCAATGTCCAGTCCGTCAATTTCATTTGCTACATGAGGACATGCCTGCTAACGGTAACGTTTGACGAATATGCGACCAGCGATCTTCAACGGCGTTTAGTGGGCGCTTAGTCAGCCCAGATGTCAGCGCACTATGGTATACATTCAGAACATCTGGCTTCGCCAGCTGGCTGGTGTCAATCCGTTCACATCGACGTCGCGGACGTCCACCGAAACGCACCAGGAGGTCGGCACAGACAAGTGCGTGGTCAGAGTCCACGCTCGTGCTCCAAATTGAACGACAGTTTTGGACACAGCCCCTCCAGCGGTAACTGATCGCGATATGATCGATTTGCGTCCATGTTTGGCCCGAGGCTGATGGCCGCCAAGTCACGCTTCTGCGGGTGCTGTGTCGGAAGTTAGTGCTCGCGAGAAAGAGGCGAGTATCTTCACACAGCTGGAGCATTCACTCACCATTATCATTACGGGAGCCTACACCATGTTGGCCGCCCAGATGAAGCTCATCAGAGGACAATTTTCCGACTTGGACGTTTAGATCGCCAGCCAACACCACAGTATAAGTGCTACTACTGTAACGAGGGAGATCGTGAAGTTGCTGATAGAAATCATCTTTCAACGAATCGGTGCTACAGTTTGTAGGGGCGTAAGCCGCAATGACAAACAGGCACCATTTGTCCCCGCGCGACTTCGTAGCACGGAAGGAACCAGCTAATCTAACGGCACACATCCTACTGTTTACTGGGATCCAATCAATCAGGGCAGCTTCAACCCGGGGACTCAAAACAATGCCGACGCCAGCTTGACCGGCATTTGAAGCTGCATCATCGCCAGACAGGCGCAATGAGAATGTGCCGCCAGTGTCGCATGTGGGGGATCTCAGGGTAAGTACGGAGCTCCAATGTTGCAGGCGGGTTTCTGATAAACAGCAAATATCGAGCGATAGGGTCTCTAGTGTGCGGGCAAGTGCTGCCTGTTGGCCAATCTGTAGCAAACTGCGCACGTTGAAGCATGCCAGTCTTAGCGAGACGCGAGGACTCCAAAGGGAAACGGATGAACTGACGTTGTCCGCTTGCTTGAACATGGACTTGTCAACTGGATTGGAGCGAGGCCTTGGGATTGTGTGTGATTTGAAATTAGAAGACAAGCGACTACTGAAGAAAGCTGGGGGAGGGCCAAGAATTGGGGGATTGAAAATGGGGGGATATAAGTAAAGTTGCAGCGGGACGATAAGGAGGAAGAAGCGCAAGAAGGGGTATAAGAAGACGGGAAGGCCTGAGCAGTAGCATCCATACCCCCATCCACCCTGCTCGATGCAGCAGATAGGGCGCCGTTGATTATCCTCTGCGACGGCCAGAGCATCAAGAAATTGTTTAGGGAAGTTTCATTGTTTACTAAGTACTTGCTCGTTAGGTTACACCATTCGCAGACAGCTGACTAAGCAAGATTGATCTGTCGACACTCCGAAAAGCTTTGGCGTAATCAAGGAAGAGGAGCCTCACATGCT